GCCGGCCCGAAGGGGCGTTCTGGAGCCCTCCAAGCTGGGGCTGCTTTTCCTCTCTCCTCGTAGCACGGACGTGGCGGGGGCTCCTACCATCACCCTGCCTGTAGGTGCTGGAGCCACTCCTGCCGCCCCAGCCCCTCTCCAGCCCATCACCGCTTCACCCTCTGCCCCCAAGCGTGTTCTGGCCTCACAGTGTACATTGTCTTCCCTGGCCCGTCTCTGTATTGCCTGGCAAAACCCAACCTGGCCCTGTACTCAGCAGCCTCTGCCCTCACGCATTCATTCACTCATTCATTCAGCATGCTGACTTTGCACCCCTGGCTCTCATGGAGCTAAGGTAGAGGTTGGGGAGATAAACAAGAAACCGGCCAGTACTGTCACCACAACAAACAGATCTCACCATGTTCCCGTGTCTGCTCTTTGTCCTGTGTCCTCACCATCCCCGAGGACATTCAAGCCAAATCTGAACTTACTCGTTCGCCCAAACTTTGTGGGACATCATTACAGCTGGCATGGTGTCAGCTGGCCTGGCAGAGCATGGTTGGGGAGGGTGTTGCTTGCAGAGGGGCACTGGTGGGGGGGACTGGCATTCCCCACGAGCCTGGAGGAGGTCAAGTTGCAGGAGAGCGAGGCTGAGCAAGGAGTCCCTGGAGCACAGGCCCATTCCCCTCAGCCTCTGCCCTGTCTCTGTTGTGCCCTGATCAAGGTGGACACTGGCCCCACCAAGCCTTTCCCAGTTCCCTGGGAAGTGGCCTCTGGACCCAGTAATGCGTCTGCCTCTCCATGGGTAGGTGGGTACCACGAGGTCAGGGGTGTGTGAGCAAGAAGCAGCAAGGCAGCTGAGACCCGGGAGCATGGGGCCTGGACCCTGGCCCTGGCCAGGCCCCCTCCGGTGCTTGCACTGCCGCTCCAGGGTTGCCGGCCCCAGCTGATCCTGCTGAAGGGCAAAGGATGGGCTGACGGGCTCCCAGCACTGGCTCCAGCACCAGCTAGCCATGTGGCCTTGGACAGGGGTCCTCCCCAACTGGTATCTTGCACTGCAAAACGGGAGTGCCAGCACCGACCTTGTAGGGCTGTTGGGAGGATGAAGGGATGGGTGTGCAAAGGGCTAGGCCGTCCCTACAGTCATAAGAACCTGCCCAGCACAGGGAGGGCTGGTGAAGGTCCTGGGTCAGTGTGGCCTCACAGGTGCTTTTTATGAGAAATGACTCACTAAAGGCTCAGGCTGGTGATGAGAGGGTCACAAGGAGGTTTACGCTTCATTCGCTCCAGACACCTGATGTCCAAAGGAATCAAAAGAAAAGAGAAGGGGAAGTCTGTGTGCGAACCCGGTGTGGGCTCTGAGATTGGAAAAACAGTTTCTCAGATTTGGACTCTCCAAAATGCCACTGCTTTGCCTGAACTCTGCACCAAGGACCTGAGCACCAGCCCTCACGGGGCCTGTCCCCTTCTTTCTGCCCTTCCACGCTTTAAGCCTCCCTCTTTCCCATCCCAGAGACAAATCCCTCGGCAGTGCTGTTTCGTAGCCCTTTCCCTTAAAGGGTCAAGGAAGGAGCCATAAACTCCAGATCCCTGCGGAGTTCAGACTCTAGCTCCTGCCACATAGTTTCGCCTCCTTTGGGTGCACCCTCGACACCTCCAAGGGCTGCTTCTGCCGTTTACTCCCCAGCGTGGTCTCACTTACCTGCCACTGGACTCCCCTGCCCCATTCCTGGCCTCAAGATGTCCTTTGGCTCAGACACCCTCGTGGCCTCTGGCCCCACCCTGGCCTGCCTCTTATTGCCTCCTAACCTCCTGTGGGGTCTCCAAAGCATAAATTGGATCTTGTCACTCCGCTGGGTAAAACCTGCTCACAGCTGCTGACACAATGAAATAAACTCAGTTCTGCATGGCGGCTGGTGGTGCGTTTGGCTGCAAATGACAGGAACAGTGTGCTGAATGAGAGGGATGTGACCAGCCTTCCAAGGCCAGGCTGACTCGGTGGCTTACGGCTGTGGTCTCTCCCACTGCAGCTCCAGGCATCCTATCCCGTTTTCAGTGGGAGGCAGAGAGCAAGGTCAGAGATCGGAGGTGAAGCGGTGCGCCACAGTGTGCTCTACCTGTTTCACAGCTTTCTCAGAAGCTGTCAAGACATATAGCCAGCTCCGGCCGCAAGACAGTCTGGGGGCCGGCGCGGTGGCTCACGCCTGTAATCTCAGCACTTTAGGAGGCCAAGGCAGGCGGATCACCTGAAATCAGGAGTTCGAGACCAGCCTGGCCAACATGGTGAAACCCTATCTCTACTAAAAATACAAAAAATTAGCAGGGCGTGGTGGCTGCGCCTATAATCCCAGCTACTCGGGAGGCTGAGGCAGGAGAATTGCTTGAACCTGGGAGGTGGAGGTTGCAGTGAGCTGAGAGCGCCACTGCACTCCAGCCTGGGCAACAGAGCGAGACTTCATCTCAAAATAAAAAAAAAGTTCAAATCAGGGAGAAAAGAAAATGTAAAAGAAATTCATTAAAAACAGCAGCAGCTCTGCTGCCTGCCTGGCAGATGTGTTGGTCGTGTGAGGCGGCTGGACTGGGAAGTGTGAGGCAGGTGGAAGCCCCCCGCCCCTTCACCTTGCTCCTTGCCATACCGCCCCTCACTTCTGAATGGCTGGCCTGCCTGTGTGCTGTCCCCGCTGTTTCGTAGCCCTTTCCCTTAAAGGGTCAAGGAAGGAGCCATAAACTCCAGATCCCTGCGGAGTTCAGACTCTAGCTCCTGCCACATAGTTTCGCCTCCTTTGGGTGCACCCTCGACACCTCCAAGGGCTGCTTCTGCCGTTTACTCCCCAGCGTGGTCTCACTTACCTGCCACTGGACTCCCCTGCCCCATTCCTGGCCTCAAGATGTCCTTTGGCTCAGACACCCTCGTGGCCTCTGGCCCCACCCTGGCCTGCCTCTTATTGCCTCCTAACCTCCTGTGGGGTCTCCAAAGCATAAATTGGATCTTGTCACTCCGCTGGGTAAAACCTGCTCACAGCTGCTGACACAATGAAATAAACTCAGTTCTGCATGGCGGCTGGTGGTGCGTTTGGCTGCAAATGACAGGAACAGTGTGCTGAATGAGAGGGATGTGACCAGCCTTCCAAGGCCAGGCTGACTCGGTGGCTTACGGCTGTGGTCTCTCCCACTGCAGCTCCAGGCATCCTATCCCGTTTTCAGTGGGAGGCAGAGAGCAAGGTCAGAGATCGGAGGTGAAGCGGTGCGCCACAGTGTGCTCTACCTGTTTCACAGCTTTCTCAGAAGCTGTCAAGACATATAGCCAGCTCCGGCCGCAAGACAGTCTGGGGGCCGGCGCGGTGGCTCACGCCTGTAATCCCGGCACTTTGGGAGGCTGAGGCAGGTGGATCACTTGAGGTCAGGAGTTTGAGACCAGCCTGGTCAACATGGTGAAACCCTGTCTCTACTAAAAATACAAAAATTAGGCCAGGTGCGGTGGCTCACGCCTGTAATCTCAGCACTTTAGGAGGCCAAGGCAGGCGGATCACCTGAAATCAGGAGTTCGAGACCAGCCTGGCCAACATGGTGAAACCCTGTCTCTACTAAAAATACAAAAATTAGCCAGGTGTGGTGGCGGGCACCTGTAATCCCAGTTACTGGGAGGCTGAGGCAGGAGAATCCATTGAACCCAGTAGGTGGAGGTTGCAGTGAGCTGAGAGCGCCACTGCACTCCAGCCTGGGCAACAGAGCGAGACTTCATCTCAAAATAAAAAAAAAGTTCAAATCAGGGAGAAAAGAAAATGTAAAAGAAATTCATTAAAAACAGCAGCAGCTCTGCTGCCTGCCTGGCAGATGTGTTGGTCGTGTGAGGCGGCTGGACTGGGAAGTGTGAGGCAGGTGGAAGCCCCCCGCCCCTTCACCTTGCTCCTTGCCATACCGCCCCTCACTTCTGAATGGCTGGCCTGCCTGTGTGCTGTCCCCAGAGGGCAGGCAGCAGCAGGGGTCGTGGAGAAGCCCCAGGGTGAGCAGGGCTGGAGAAAGCTTTGTGCTCAAATCAGTTCCTGACAAGGGTCACGTTGGGGCCTTTCCAGAGAGTGCAGATGTGTGGAGAGATCCAGGGTGATGAGGACCACAGCCACAGGCGGACCAAAGCTGCCCTGAGAGATTCAGCCACCCAGGCCTACAGAGGCAAAGGGGCTGCCAAACTGGACATGGAGGAGCCAGGGAAGGGGCCCCTCTCTGTGCCCATGGCCAGGGTGTGTCCCTCACCCCTGGGAGCTTCCCCTGGTTTATTTCACAGTAAAGAGAAGTGAGAGGCAAGGAGACCCCGGGGGTCAACAGCCAGCTTCCTCGCAGCCTCCTGCCTCCCTGGAAGGCACTAGGATTAAACAGGCACAGGAACTGGGGCCCCTCCCCGACTCTCCCTTGTCAGTGGGCAGAGCTTCTTGGCTCAGCAGCTGGGAGGGACAGCCTCCAGGGCTGGTGGTTGCAGAGGCTCAGGGTGCCGAGGGCTAACTCCAGGAGGCTGAACAGAACTGCAGGTGAGGTGTGCAGTGAGACTGAGACCCCCACACCACACCTTTGGCAAAGCTCCAGGAAGCGCTCTCTGACCTCCTAGGTCAGGTTAGGTACAGTTGTGCCCAAGTTGCCCGGGTGGCTGAAATGGTCAGCTCCACTCAGACCTCCCCTCCTCCAGGAAGCTGTTTTTGGGACACTCCTGTCCCTGCTGCCCCACCCGCCAGTGTCCCTCACCACAGGCGTCTCATTGCTGGGATGATAGCAGAGGCACTTCTGCTGAATGGCCAGGCTGCACCAGCGTATTCATAAGCTTTACATTCCAATCCTCTCGCCCTTCATTAGCTTGCCTTACAGATGAGAAAACAGGTTCTCAGACGTATCCGCAACTGCCCAGGTCACATGGCCAAGGCCGCTGTCAGGATCCGAGGGCACACACACCTCTGAGCTGGCCCCTTCGACTCCAGGGCAAGGGTGTTGAATGAAGCCCTTTCCTCCACCATATGCAAAGGCAGCTTCACCACTTAAAAAACAAAGAAAACTTTATTCCCTTGACAGTTTCTGTGCAGCGACACCAGGCTGTACAAAGCCCAGTGTCATCTTCATCAAGCACATTCCCCAGGATGCCTGGGACGGCCTTCTCCTGCCCCAGGCCCCAACTAGCCACCCCTGTGCCCACTAGCGGACCCTGTGCCTTCACAGGGATGAAGCCCTGGCTCTGAGAATGCCTAGGAGGCACCGTTTGCTGGGGAGCAAGAGGAACTGACCTTTGGCTTCTTTGTGGCTGGAGGTGTTCCAGCCCTGGTGAGGGGGATCCCATATTGTTCTCTGCTGAGCCCTCTGCACACCTTGGGGGATCCTGGCTGGCGGGGATGGGTGGGCCAGAGACTCAGTTGTCCATCAGCTGGCCATGTCCCCATTTTATGGACAGGCAGCCTGAGGCCCAGAGGTGGAAGGATTTCTCCTTGCCACAGCTGCATCACACTTGAACTGTCGAGACCTCCACCCACTGGTCTGTCTGCTCCCCACGCTAGTCCCGTTGGCTGATATGGTGCCTCCAGCAGACTCCATGGCTTCCCGGAGGGTGGAGGGTCCCCAGTTCACCCTCCAGCAGGAGTGGCAGCAGCTGGGGTACCCCTAGCAGTGGCATGTGGAGAAGCTGGGGTATGCAGAGGATCCAGTTCTGGGACACCAGGAGGCACACCAAGTTTTCCTCTGTCCCTAACACAGACCAGAGGTGGCCCACCAGCCTCCCGGGTGGAGGATATGTGGAGTCAGGTCCCTGGGCAGCCCCTTGGTGGGCCATCAGAGACCCCTGGGAGCCAGCCTGCAGGGCAGGAGCACAGTGGCATGGCCAGGATCCCAGAAAGGGGCTGGAGTGTCTGCCTCAATTTCCAGGATAATGAATGGTGCAATGGCCTCAGCCAGGCCAGGTGCTGGCTGCCACTCAGAATAATCTCTGACCTTCGTGACTCTACAATGTGGGTATGAGGGTCCTTATTTCACAGATGAGAATACTGAGGCAAGTGAAGTTCTTGGCCAAAGCCACCCGGCTGATGAGCAAAATTCAGCCCAGGTCTGAGAGAGTCCACAGCCCCCGGCATCCAAGCAGGAGGACGGCAATCGACTCAGGGGCCAATTTATGTCTCAGGTTTCTGAGAAGGGGCCCTGGGGAAGGAGGGCGGGGTGAGTGTCACAGGCTGGAGGGCTGCGCCAGAGCGGGCCCCGCAGGGGCGGCGGAGGCCGCGGGCACAGCCTCGCCCTCGGGCCCGGCCTCTTCGCCGCGCGCGTAGGTGAGCACCACGGTGACTGTGGCGAAGGTGGCGGCGTTGACGGGGAAGGCGCGCAGCAGCGTGGACGCCAGTCCCCGTGTGAAGACGCGCCAGCCCTCGGCGCGGTAGCTCTGGCGCACGCAGTCCAGGATGCCGCGGTAGCGCGGGGCTCCCCGCAGCCCGTCGGCCTGCAGCCGTGACTTGACCACGTCCACAGGGTAGGTGGAGAGCCAGGACATGATACCCGACGTGCCACCTGCCAGCAGCAGCTTGGGCACCAGCAGGCGGTCGCCCGGCTCGCAGCCCAGCGCCCGCGTGAGCGCGTCGTAGGTTAGGAAGTAGACGCCGAAGCTGGGCGTCTCTCGCAGCAGCGTGGACACCATGCCCCGGTTGACGCCACGCAGACCCTCGTGCCCGTAGATCTGCACGAGGCAGTCCAGCGAGCCCTTGTAGGTGCGTGCCGGGCCCGCGTCCTGCAGCTGCAGCCGCGTCTTGGCCAGCTCCATGGGGCAGCAGATGACACACTGGATGGCGCCCGCCGCCGCGCCTGCCAGGAACTGGTTGAGAGGCGAGTCGTGGCCCAGGGCCCGGAGGGTGTTGCCCTGTACCCCGAACACCAGCGCGTTGATGAAGGTGAGCCCCATGAGCGGCGAGCCCAGGCCCTTGTACAGACCCAGCACCTGCGGGGGCAGAGACGCCATCAGAGCCGGCAACACGCACCTCCTGGGCCCTCCACGCGGAGAGGGGTTGGAGGATGGCAGCCCCAGCCCACCCCAGGGGCTCCTGAGGACCAAGCAGAATTTCGTTGGAACCTAGGTCCTGATTGGCCTGCTGGCCATCCTGACACCTTCCTTCCTGGCTCTCTGGTCTGGGGTGGTGGCAGCCTGGAGACTGGTTCCCCATCCTGTGCCTCCCGAGCCCTACCAGCCCAGGCCACTCACACTCTCTTGCTTGATGATGGACTTGAAGCAGTGCAATGTCCCACGGTACTGAGGCTTCTCCACGCTCTGGACCTGAAGCCGCACCTGGAAGGAGAGAGTCCAGTGAGAGGTAGGCAGGCAGGGCCAGAGCACCCAGCTCCCGGGTCTGGCACTCAGGCTGCCTGGGAGGGTCTCCTAAGGAGGCTGGGCACTCAGGCACAGTCTAAGACTTTTGTAATTCCAGGGCAGGGCGGACCGGCTATCTATGCCTTTTCAGGATGGGGTGCCGGTGGGCAAACAGCTACAGGGACAGGCTGCTGGAGACAGGGTAGGGGGTCCCCAAGATCTCAGACCAGTTGAGGTTAAGCCTCTTGTTTACACTATGGCTGCACAGTGCACTGCCGGTGGGGCATGAACGACCTCCTGAGACCAGCCCGTTCTCCAGGTGATGCTTGTCATACTGCTGAGTGGGCGGCCCATGTCCCAGACCAGGCTGAAGGTCCCCTGCCCTAATGTCCCGTCAGACTGGCTTTGAGGCAATAGGTGCAAAAAGTGATGAGCCTAGCTGGGTGCAGTGGCTACATCTGTAATCCCAACACTTTGGGTGGCCGAGGTGGGTGGATCACTTGAGGTCAGGAGTTCCGAGACCAGCCTGGCCAACATGGCGAAACCATGTCTGTAAAAAAAATTAGCCTAGCATGGAGGCACACGCCTGTAATCCCAGCTACTCAGGAGGCTCAGGTGGGAGAATTGTTTGAACCGGGGAGGCAGAGGATGTAGTGAGGTCACGCCACTGTACTCCAGCCTGGGCGAGAAAGCAACACTCCGTCTCAATAAATAAATAAATAAATAAATAAATAAATAAATAATATAAGCAATGACCTTGGCTCCAGGAGCTCCTGCCTGGTCTCTGCCAGTAGCCTCTAGTGAGAACAGCAGTTATGAGTTAACAGAGCAGTGGCAAAAGAACAGCCAACAACCTCCTTGGGGACCCACGTCAGCAGCTCTGGGGCCCGGGACGCTGCTCAGGCCTCGCCGCCTCCGAGCCCAGTGGCCCAGAACCTCTTCCATGTCAAAGCGCTCTTTGTTGCCTATGAGTTTATCTCTGCTCGATAGGAGGCTCAGACTTGCAGAGCGGGGGGTGGGAGTAAACTAGGTCAAGTCACATTCTCAGGGGCTGATTCCCTAGGTCTGACTCAGAAATGATCATTCTTACAGCCAGGGCCACAAAGCAAGTGCCTTCAGTACTAGGCAGCATGGGACAGGGGAGGGCTTCACACTCAATTATCTTGGCATTGGGACAACTGCCCCCATTTCCAAGATGGGAAGACTGAGGCTCAGAGATGTTTTACAACTTGGCCAAAGCTGTCTTCTCCAGGGATATGAGTGGCTGTGTTGGTCAGAGTGAGGGTGGGAGGGAGTGCTGGCAAGGGAGAGCCCTCACCGGGAACAGCCAGGCTTCTGCCCAGATTCTGGAACCTTTTCCAATTCTCTCCACCAGAATAGGTGGGCCCTCTATTGGTGAATGCACTTACAAAAAATGTTTTGTTAGGAAACAAGTACCATCTCAGTACGCCCAGGACCTCAACAGCTAGAAGCCAATGCTTCAAGATTGGCCCGAAGCACCCCTCCCACCCTGGAGGCCCAGTTCTTGGCGAGCACCTTGATGCAAGGTTTGCTGCTTTCCCTTCAATGTTCTGGGGTCTCTGGGGCGATCTCTCTGTTCCTCCTGCAGGCCCAACACTGGGACTAAGAGGGCTGTGTGAATAGGACCGATGTGACGTGGAGCTATCCCTTCCCAGGTTGGATACTCAATGCCACCTGGGTAGTGTTGTGAAGTCTTTGCAGGTCACATACACTGGTGAACGCCCAAGTCCAGCAGCTCGGGAATGTCAGGCTCAGGTCAACTCAGCTTTTCCCACCAATGTGGGCAGAGGTCTCTCCCTACTTTGTTTCTGACCCCTCAGTCTGTGACGAGCCCTCACTCTCTGGGCCCAGCATCCCAAGTCTTGTCATCTACAGCTCAGGCTTTTAAAATCTTGGGGTGACAGGCTCTCCTTTGAGGATTGATGGGAATGGACCCACCCCTGGGAAACTAGTCATTTGGACACAAGTTTAGGAAGCTCCCAGCTTCCCACAAGGCTGAGAGACCCCCACATGAGGACCCCCAATCCAGAGGGGGCTGATTTTTTTCGACCAGCCCGAGCCCCCACCCCAGGATCTGTGCTGGGCCCAAGCTTGTCTCACACCCTCCCTGTCCCCTGCTACGGAGGGAACTCTGGGGTTGGGGAGATGGGCACGACAGGGTGGGGTCCAGGCTGGGGTCTGGTTCACCTGGTCTGTACTTACTAGCGCTCTCCAGGGTGAGGCTTACGCCCATCTACAACAAAGTTACACTTTTGCTATGGATGGAGACAGCCCCTAGCTCAGAAAGTAAAGGCGGTTAAAGCAACACAAAATTTCAACATCACATCCAGGCACGGAGCCCCCACAGCCAGCCCCCACCCACCCTCCCCATCCCCTGCCCAGGGATAGCCGGTCACCCCCTCATCACAGTTCAAGATGACTGCTCCCTGATGAAAGTGACTGTTTCCTGATTATTGTTGTATCCAAGGAAGCAGGACAGAAAATTCCCTTTGTGCAGAACCACGTGTGAAGGCCATGTGCTTCAGGACGGGGGCTGTGGTTCTGGACGCTATAGAGGAGATCTAGATCTTGGATTCTTTCAGTCCCAAGGGTCTGGGGGAATAAACTGTGACTGTCCCAGCCATGAGATAGTCTGTGGCCATGTGACAGTACAGACTGACATGGACTCGGGTCGCCCCTGATGATTCTAGGGTACAGCTGCAATTACATTAAGTTCAAACCAGGCAAAAGGGGCCCGTGGTGTTGGAAGTGAGGACAGTGGGCCAGGCCTGTCATCCCAGCATTTTGGGAGGCCAAGGCAGGAGGATCACTTGAGCCTGGGAGCTTGAGACCAGCTGGACAACGTATCAAGACCCCATCTCTACTAATAACTTAAAAAAAAAATTAGCTAGACATGGTGGTGTCTGCCTGTAGTTTCAGCTACTTGAGAGGCTGTGGTGGGAGGACTGCTTGAGCCTGGGAAATCAAAGCTACAGTGGGCTACTGCACTCCACCTGGGGTGACAGAGCAAGACTCATGTCTCAAAAAAAAGGAGGAAGTTAGGCCAGTGGAAGCCTCGGAAGAAGGGGCGGGAGGAGCTGATAGGAGCGGGAGTGAAGACTTCCAGAGGGCTGGCCATGTTCTGTTTCTCCTGGGTGGCGGCTCCCCACGCCTGTGCTTTGCGATGACTTATACACCTAGGATGTGTACACTTTCTTTTTTTTTTTGAGATGGAGTCTCGCTCTGTCACCTAGGCTGGAGTGCAGTGGCGCGATCTCAGCTCACTGCAAGCTCTGCCTCCCAGGTTCACGCCATTCTCCTGCCTCAGCCTCCCGAGTAGCTGGACTACAGGTGCCCGCCACCACGCCAAGCTAATTTTTTGTATGTTTAGTAGAGACAGGGTTTCACTCTTAGCCAGGATGGTCTTGATCTCCTGACCTTGTGATCCGCCCACCTCAGCCTCCAGAAGTGCTGGGATTACAGGCATGAGCCACTGCGCACGGCCGGATGTGTGCACTTTCTACATGTGCTGGACCTCAACTAAAAACAGTAGCCAGGCGTGGTGGCACGTGCCTGTAATCCCAGCTACTTGGGGGGTTGGGGAGGTCTGAGGCAGGAGAATCACTTGAACCCAGGAGGAGGAAGTTGCAGTGAGCCAAGGTCGCACCACTGCACTCCAACCTGAGTGACAGACACAGACTCCGTCTCAAAGAAAAAAAAAAGTTCAGCTTTTTAAGGTAGGTATGTCCAGATGTGATGCTGGAGCGACACAGTGGCAAAAAAAAAAAAGGGATCACAAATAGATCTTCTCAAAGACCACCCTCCAGACAGCGAAGTAGGGTCTGGGGAGTAAAATTTCATGGGCTGGAGAAACTCCTGTCCCTGAGTCACATCAGGGATGCTGCTCGCGGGCTCAGTGGCTCAGGACGGCGGAGCACCAGGACGAAAGTGCTCCCCGGCCTGCCAGGGGCTGCCTGAGGGGGCCGGGCAGGAGCCCAGCAGGTCTGGTCGATTCATAGCTCAGAGAGCCTAGGCCTCCGCGGAGCTGGAAAGAGGAAGTGAATGCGAGGCACTTCTTGGTTGCGAGAGGCATTCACAACACATGACGACGAGATATAAACACAGTGCAACGTGGACACTGCCAGGCTGTCCTGGGCTGCTCTGGCCTGGGGGAGGCTTCACGGGTGGCCTGGCCAGGCAGCGCGTGGGCACGGCTGGGGCCGGGGGCTGTGTGGGCAGGCTCTGCACAGCCTCCCTCTCGGCAGGCTGGTGCAGGAAACGTGGGGCCGCTGCCTGCCAAGAAAGCCTGGCCCTTCAGCCGCCTCCACAAACTGGATGGAAGAGTTGTGCTTTTCAGAGCCAGCATTTAATCCAACATAAATTATGCTGGTGAGCACTGGCACGATGACAACGTTTGAGCCCAAAGATACCGGGACCTGCCCAAGGTCATGCAGAAAACCAGCTGGCAGAGGGGCCTGGACCTGCACAAGGCCCAGGGACAGAGCTTTTTAAGGTCACAGCCAATGCATAAGGTCGGGCCCTCACTCTTGTGCTGGATGCAATCCAGCCTTATGGTAAGCAGTCACTGTCTCTGCCAACAAACACCTGGGCTCACTAGAAAAGGAGACCAGAAGTCTCCTGCCAACCCAGCTCAGGATGTGCATCCTGCCTTGCCTTCCCTCAGTGGGAAGAGGGGCCACGTGTAGTGCTGCCGGCAAGCACAAGGCTGGTCTGGTGCCCGCCACTCACAGCTTGCCCTGGGGCCCAGGGAAAAGCGTGAGGAAGGGCCCCACTGCGCTACTTTCAGAACATACAGCCCAACCACAAGTGGAGGGTGGGGGATTTATTTGGGAATTGCCAGCTGGAGGACACAGATTTCCTTGGTTTCCGTTCCGGGGGGTCTGAGAACCTGGAACTCCGGTTTATGGAGGTGTGGGGTGTTGTCAAGGAACCGGCTAACAGAGCCCTTCCTCACGCCTCTGGCACGTGGGAAACTATCACTCGGACTCTCCGTAAGGATGATCACCACTCCGTGAAGATCATGTTCATGGGAGGTACGAGTTTTGGCTTTTTTGTATTTTCTCTCTGAACTTTTCTTTCTTTCAAGGAAGTGTTTGGGGGAGTTCTGCATGGGAACAATGTGGGTGCCCTTGCTCTGGGTGGGAGGAAACCTCAGCACCTCGGTCCCAGCTGGCCAAGCCCAGGATGGACTTGGCCATGAACCCAGAATGTGGATCAGCCCCAGCTGGGAGATGCCAGGACGAAGCAGCAGGACGGTTCAGCCCGGCGCGGTGTAAAAAGCAGCTGCCCACCTGGGGCTGTCCACGGAAATGGGCTTCCGGCCACCCCAACCCTGTGAGCCTCTTTCCAATGTACGCGCCGAGAAAAAAAAGCAGCGATGAGACTCACCTTGACTGTGTCAAACGGGTGTCCCACAAGCACGCCTGCCACACCTGGAGGAGGAGAGGGGGACTTGTGACCCACATACCTCAGAAACACAGTGCAGGGCACTGGGCATGAGGGGGTGCTGGCAAGGAGGACTGGCAGGAGCTCCTGCAGGGGAAAGGGGCATTGCCCAAGCACCTGTGAGTGCAGCAGGCAGATCCCGTGAGCCCCTGGAATCCTCATGTCCAGTGGTGGGGTATGCATGTGACATCCCAATGCCATGCCAGCATCTGTCCCATTGAGCGCTGGTGACCCATCTGCAGGCTGCTGCTCTCCACAGCGGACTGGTCTGGGTGCCTGACAGGGGAAGCTGTCCCCTGGGAGGCTGCACACACTATTTCTGGGAGGTCCCATTAATCCAAACACCTGACATGAGCAGGAGGCTCCAGGGATGCTGGACTTTGGGGTCAGACCCTCCCCAGATTTGAATTTTCCCCCTGCCACGCATCAGCCTGGCATGCTCACAAATGACTCTGTCTCTGGGTCTCACTTTCCTTACCTGTAAAGGTTTACCTCCCTCCCCCAGGGAGTGACGACCCCAGGTCGTGATGCAGTGGCTGACACCCCCGTCCCCTTCCCTGGGTGGGAGCCACCTCGAGCCCGGGGAGACAGCTTGTGACTGTGCGGTCATCCTTGGTTATTATTTCAGGTCCTGCCAAAAATCCAGCCCCTCTTGAAGGACAAAGGTTCACCCCTCCAAAACGGCTCACTAACACTTCTCAGAGTCCTAAACACTGTGTAGGTGGCAACCATCTCTGAGTCTTGCCACCACTGTGAGTAAGGCAACCTCATTATCCATTTCACAGGAGAAACAGGCTCAGTGAACTGACTCTTGACTCCCTTGCTCCTCTCCCTGGAGTTTCACCTGGACATCTGTTCAAGCTCTCCTTTTACTGCCAGTAGTGTTTATGTATAATTAAAACAGCTAGCATCTGTTGAGTAACAAACTAACATTACAACCCATTCTCACTTTTCCACTTAATGCCTGTGGAAGTTACTATGCATCTCCACAAATTGAACTTTGTATCTTTACCTAACATCCTCTGCATCCTTTAATATTTTGGATCTGGCCAGGTGTGGTGACTCATGCCTGTAATCCCAGCACTTTGGGAGGCCAAGGCAGGCAGATCACTTGAGGTCAGGAGTTCAAGACCAGACTGGCCAACATGGTGAA